GTGAGTTTCCTCTGTATGCTAGGACACTCCACACGAATGGTTGGACACACCAAACATTTCGAATATACAGTCGAAACCCCCCAATAACGGAATCGCCGGGGAAACCGAAAAATTTCGTTTACGCAAGGCATTTTGTTGCCGCGAATGTGAGACATAAAAACAGTGATACGGCCAGCAGAAGAAACATTTATTGCCAGAAGTCAGACAACTTACTTTGCCGACCCTTGCCGTGCATCAACTTCAAAGCTCTCCTTTCGCACTGGAAAAAGTGGTCCATTGCTACGTCATCGTCATGTGCGCCGAAGAAGGAGCGTAAGGATGTCCAGCGCATCCAAAACAACCCGCGGGTTAAGTTTCTCCGCTAGCGTCTCTTCTTGGTCCTCGGTGTCGTCAGCTTCGCGCACACTTTCGATAATGGCCTCGTCGGTCACTTCCTCGTACACAACTACGTCGTCATCGGCACGAGCGAACGCATTAATGGTGAGTTCATCTGGGATGTCGATGTCGATGGCTTGAAGTTCCCCCCAGGCGTTGGTCAGGGATAGAGGCACTGCACTGCCACCACTCTCGCCGTCAAGAGCGCCTTTGACCAAATCTTCGTCTGGTGAGGCCTAAGCGCGATCCGTGCGTGATGCTTGCACGGTGGTGGTGAAGCGCGCGTGATCATTTGCCATCGCCTGCTGCAGTGTGGCCAGGCATGTTGCCAGACACAGACTCCATCGCCGATTTAAGTAAACAAAAATGGCGGTACCCACGCTAGCGCAGGAAAAGCAGACGTTTACAAATTTTGAGTGCGCATAACACGCATACGAGCATATTTTCGACAATTAACCTTTGGCGGGAGGGTAAAATAAGGCCCGCACCGTGGTAGAAAATTCGTTATTGCGGTATCGCTGTCCAAAAACATTTCGTTGCCGCGAGATATGTAATACATGGGCTTCTATGAACGTTCACCGGGAATCTGGAAATATTTCGTTGCCGCGGGGATTTCGTACTCTCGGGGTTTCGTTATTGCCGGTTTCGACTGTATTTAAATTCACCTCCAAAGTCTACCTAAATGCTCCTTCAACCAACCTAAGCCTATCACAAGCACATCCAGAACTGTCGTAGCTCTGTAGGAAGGGAAACAAAAGTTGTAGCGATGTCACACCAGATCTGTAGTGAGCGTAGGCAGGAGCAGGCTTCCTTTCAGGGAGGACAAAGGTTCGTCGCGGCGCACCCCCTCCCTATTATGTCAATGTATGGGTCTGACTTTTCACCCCTCCCCCCAAGTTGCAGCACGCCCTCCATTATATGTCAGTGCGTGGGACTGTGTTTGCCTCCCCCCCCCTTACCACCCTCTCATGTGCATGCCTATTGTAGTGAAGTTGGAGACCGCTGAAGACCTCCACTATGTATGTACCGTTTGTTTAGAACGTTTGTTTTTCAGGTGCTTGTGTGGCACGTCTGTGCGAGAGCAGACGATAATCAGCGTGACATACGTCACATCCTGTCACATGACCAAACCATCTACACTGCCACGTCACAGACCGATTCGGCACCCAGAAACCGAATCCAAAAATTATCCACATAAAAAAGGCAATTTTATATTATTTAGCGAGAACGAACTAATCTTGGTGTGTGCGTCATGCTTTCTGGAATGCTTACAGCAAAAAACGCATAAGCCACAAATACGGTGGCACCACCCCCTTAACGTGTATCTTTCGGGACAGCAGAAGGCAAAGTAAAGCAAGTCTCAACAGAAAACCAAACGCGCACAGTATTCAGCAGACTGCAGTACAGCAGACGCATACAACAGAATGGCAGCGATAGCAGTACAGTGCCATGAGAGCGCGGGGATGCCAGACCCGGAACATAAAATGTTCGCTTTGTTGATACGACCTCTCAAAATTGAGCACTGCCTCCAAGATCAGCATTTCCTGTTACAAAGCTGCGAGGCAACCGAAGTGAAGCCTCACAGATCACCAGTGTGCTTTCGTTTTGGATGCGAAGCACCTCTCTGACTAGTCTTTAATTGTCACACTGTCCCTCCGCACACCCCCACTGCGCATACTTGTGTCGCGCCGCAGGTGTTGGAGCAGTGCCAAGTCATGTTGACGTCACTCTCTCCCTCACCCGCAGCAGATGCCAACCCCTCCGCCTGCTCGCAACACACTTCTTTCTCGCTTCAGCCTCTCCACCGCCCGCAACGCTCAACCACATGTCGAGTAGAAACACTAGACAGATTTAGTTGCGCGTCCGCAGCAGCCATACGAACGCAGCCTGCCAGCCATTCGAATTTGGAAGCTGCGTACATACGGCAGCTGTAGACGCGCAGCTATATCTGTCTACTCTTTTGGCTCGTTTACAGTCGCCGACCGATTTTTCGGACCTGGCGGGGACCGAAAAAAAGTACGAAAAATCGAACAGTCCGAAAAATTCGTTTTCGCCAAAAATCTGAAGTTTATTGCATCAGGCAGGTTTAAAAAAGTCCTTGATGCTGCCTTGCCTCAAACTACGCTCAAACATCGTCAGGGTCGTATACTTCTCACGCTTCTTCACACCACCTGGCTCCCGCGATGGCACAGATGGCGGAGCCATGGCACCGAGAACACAAAATTCGATGCCGCAGATAGCCGCTGCGAAGCACACAACGTCTCGACGCTACGCGACACAACATGTGCAGAATGGCGACTGAAAAAAGCTGCAACGACAATAAAAGAATCCTTCTTTCGCCTCCTCCCCGTGCGATGTGATGACGATAGTGCTTACCGAAGACGAAAAAACGGCATCCATCACCGCGTCTTTTGAAAAGCAAACACGGCCTCCGAAACTTAAAATATGGCGTGTGCATTCCAATCTCGGAGGCAGGAAAGGCCTCTGAAGACGAAGCTTAGCCAAGCCGACGGAAAATCCAACATGGCGGCGTTCACAATGACTTGGGGCGTAGCACAAAACGAGCGATTTAGTCCGAAAAATCGAACTTTCAGGGGTAAATTCGCCCGAAAAATCGGTCGAAACAATGCATTAGCTCTATGGGATCCCTGACGGTGCATTTATGAAGTCCGGAATAACCAACAAGTCCGAATTTTTGGAGTCCGGAAAATCGGCCGGCGACTGTATCTGCAAAACTTATACGAAACCCAACCCGCCTCCCATATCTTCGCGTTTCAAACAAATGTTTACTCAAGTAAACGCTACACCGAGTTTCGCTTCTAACAGTTCTTCCAGCACCCGCGTCGACGCCAGTTTCAATTGGGTCAACGCCCTGCGCGTCGCTGCTGCTTCACGTCTTATCAACGTTCTTTTTGGGAAGATGGTCCATAATTTTTTCCATCTCTAAGGCCATACTTTGTATGGTGTGGGTACCGGAGGAAATAATGGCTGCTGATTCAGTGTGCGCGCCAGTTTCAAAAACAGTCCACAGCATCAAACGCAGATCTGACAGCTGCCCAAAATATAGGTCGTTTTTACATATTAGTTCTATGAGGTGTCTGTATCAGCGGTGCCTGCGCGACTGTACGAATTGCCAAGCATGTCCAAATTATCAGTAGACGTTTGTGTGTGCTTATATGCACTTAGTATAGTGAGATTTAAGATGTAACGCACTACACCAATTATAACTTGCACCTTCTAGCTATACACAGTTGGCGACAATTTAAAGCCCCTTCCACTTAATTTTGACTACACCTTGACATTCACACATGCCTAATTGTAATTCCTAAAAATATTGTGCAAGATAGTTGGGTCATGACAAAAGTGCCTACTTTTCTCATTAATATGTGATATAACTATTCAAACTCAATTAGAAATTATTCGACTATATCACTGATCACTTTGAAACTGAAATCTGTCCATCCCTACAAGAACATCATGAATACAGGTTGTTGTCTAATATAATTAGGCATTGTATGCAAGGACCCTTTAATCTCATGACTACTAAAATTTAATTTAGTGGTGATAGTCAGGGACTTGTGCGGTCCTCAGATTAACATTCAATACCGAGCAAGTTAAACCAACAGCTGCAAAGAGCTGTTCTACAGCCTAGCCGTAACTATGGGAGACAGGAGGGACGCGTGGAAATACTGCAATGTTAACCTGCTCTAAGTAACGTTGTTGAAAAGTTTTAAAGACGATAGGCTTTCTTGGGGACCTTCGACGCAAAAATTTTGGTCTGTCTGCCTGTACACTTGTCTGTTTGTCTGCCCTTAACGTTGCCCTAAACGGTACCAAAGTGGCCAAACGATATACTCCGAAAGGCCAACCCCATCCGCAGCGCCCACCAATATTTCTCAAGATTCAGCGTTTATACTTGTGCAACGGGTCAATTAAAAAGCAATTATTACGCATATCTGAGGCACCCTAACAACATGTCAATATTCTGTATGTGCATCTCGTTACTAGAAAAGGCATACATAAGTAATTCTAAAGACTGTAGCGCTCATTCCGTTGCGCTGACCATGCAACGCTTGCACGCAAAGGCAAGTGTTTCCAACACTTTGCTAAGACGACACAGTGGTGGCACTTACCCGTCGCCTTGCATTTACACTTTATCACCTCCGAGACGGGCGTTCAGGGCGTGCACGCTTCGTTTTCCAAGATAACTGCCAGATAGCGCTAGTCTCACGTGTGACGAGACTTGATGCGCTCGTTCGCCTCCACTGCACGCTCAAGGCACTCTAACGCAGCGCCTCCAGAATACCATTCACCGATTTTTTTGCGCAGAACATCAAAGAAACGTTTATTTCACTCTGTCCAGGCGCAAGACTCTCGCCTTTCGACGACATTTGCAGTGTAACATGCAGATACGGGGCCAATTTTTTGTTTGTAGACGTAAATTTGGCGCACTTGCCATATTTGTAAGGAAATTGTACAGCACCATTTGTACGTAATGTTCCCATCTTCGCAGCTCTAATGAGAAACATGGGCAACCTCTTGCACCAATACACAGCTTAACCTACCGAGGAGTAACCACAGAGCCATACATGGCATTCTAAGGCAGTTTACATGGTGGCACTTACAAGGCATGTCGAGATCATCATCAACGTCGTCCACGTCCTCGGTACTATCCTCGAAGCCATCCTTCTGCAATTAGGCATAGAAAATAAGAGAGGCATTTGATGAATAACAAAGGACACCTGCTTCAAGCAATGTTGTTTCATACTTGTCTTATCAATGTTTTTATGCATATTAGAGCTGTGCAAATAGCAAAATTTTGTGTGGGACTCAAATGAAATAATCTTGTAATATTTCTTGAATATCTCTAGAATATTTTCTAAACACCTTGAAGCAAAATAGCAGAAAAAACAACAGGCCAGGCCTGCAGAGAAACAGGTCACAGACACACCGAAATATGGAAGAGCGGCATTTATAGAACCGTTAAAAACTCTCTTAAGGGGGAACATGGGTTTTAGAGATAAAGTGGGTTATTTCTTGGACAAATTAGGTGAAACTGCGCAGCTTTGTTCAGTTTCTTGAGCTTGTTTAGCTATCCAACTACTTTTCATTCAGGTCAATTATTTTCTGAAATAATTAGTAATTAGATTGTATTGTTTGCTTAAACCATGAAAACTTATGCACATAAAATTGCATAGTCATTAACATGATATCGATACTAGAAACCCTAAAGAGTGCAATGCTGCAAGCTGATCAAAAATTTACCAAGTACTTCATGAATTATAGCACAATAAAGTTCATTGCCTGCATGTTACTAAAAATAAGAAATTTTATTTGAAATTAAAAATAATTGAAGCTGTACACTAACAATGAGATCTCAGCGTTGCTTTCAGTGCACATTTACCTACAAGGTGCAAAAAGATTTATAGCTCTAACTGTCCTAGATCCGTTTTTACAGAAGAAGCAAACGAGGAAAGTGGTCAAGAGATGAGAAAAAATGATTAAAACATTATTTCGCCGTTTCGGGTGAAAAATATCATGGCACACATACTTTTAGTCAGTTACTATGCACCCGGCATGTAACCAGACTGATTTAGCATGAGCGTGTCTTTTCTATCAAGTTCTGCTGCAAGTTGTTGCCGTGTGCTTGTTCACCGACAAGGCCGCTATATGGTATTGACGTCAATGTGCGACGAATGTGCGCGCGACCCGGCGATGTTTTCGGGCCTGTCCAAATTGAGATACAAGTAAATTACGCAGACCGAACTCCCACACTCGCTCCTTCAATTTTGAGGCTGAGAGAGCAGGGAGGGGCGATTTTCCTTTTCACGTAAGATAGACGTCTTTCGAATGAAGACCGCGACACGATAAGTTCATCGTTGCAAACGCGTCGTTAAAAGCATTGTGCCTATTGCCAGAAGCCTCCACTGTGCGGGCGGCGAGCACGTTCACCGTGAACGGATTGATTTTATATTTGTCAATGCGCCGCAAAATCCACTTTGACAACCTGTCACGCAGTTCACACACAAACGAGGTCGTTTCGTCAGATAAGGGGGAACCGCGGCCTCGGCGCATTTAGCAATAAGACTGTGCTTCCGTTGCGTCGCTGCAAAGGTTGATATCTCTTGTAGCTTCAGTTCTGCTTTGTACTTGTCATCGTCAACTATTAAGGCTGCAAAACATGGCCACTTTCAGTAACGCTGTTCGCAAACGATGGGCTTGTAGGCCCAGCGTGAGTTAGGCCTAGCTTGGTGACTCTGCTAGGGAATCGGCGATCGCTCCATTGACCACCGCGACTTTGTCATCCTCGTTGCCTTGAGCCATAGTGTGGCTCTTTCTGAAGTTCTCAGCGAGCAATTGCCACACCCACTTCACAAACTTGTATGGCATGGAACTTCTTTAATGCCGCAGGCAGTCGACAGTACCACGACAAAATAGTGCACGCCCGTGCGCATCTCAACGGCGAAGCAGACGCCAAAAACGCCACTTGTCCAATCGGATGTCTACGCTTTGTAACGTGCCACAAGCAGCCAATAGAATCATGCACTGCTTCTTTTTGAGGACGTGTGTTTACTGAAACACTAATGAATGAGGCGAGCCGACGGTGGCCGGAAGTTGAAAATGAAGAATGGCCCTTCTAAACGAGACCAAGATGGCCACAATAGCTCGTGTGTAACGGCAAGGGTTCGGAGCAGAAAAAGCGAGATTTTAGCATCATTTGCACTCCCATACATCTCACAGGGGTGTTATAAATTGATTTTGCACCAAAAATGACGATGCAAGAAACTAGAAACTTCTTAGATTAGTGCAAAAATAGTCACAGATTTCCTATATGTCAGCTTCATAAAGTCGACTTTTTCGTGATTTCTTGCCCTCTAAGACCCGCATTCCCACCCCGGGCTACTAATACAATTGTGCTTCCAAGAAACCTACTACAGTCGAGCCCACATATAACGGCCCCCCTTAAAACGAACTTTTACTTTAAAACGAACAATATCCGCGTGACCGTGAAAATATACATTGGTTCAATGGCACAAAATCACACTTACAACGAATGTCTCTGAGCGCCGCTGATCGATTACAGCGAACGGAGTCAGCGATCTGCGGGCTTCCCGGGAAACTAATTTCGACCACCGATCAGGCATCGGCGAGGTGCCCATACATTTTTATAGTTAAACGCTGACCCTGCCTCCGCGACCCTCTAAGTTGCCGCTCTCCCCAACCCATGGAGAAAGGAAAATTGTTTCCTTCCTCCATGCCCCGACTGCTTTTTGTTACGCACCCCTCCGTCCTTTGTCCCCCCGCTACTCTGAGCGCCCCGCATCGCCAGACGAGGCCCGCGTTTTCACACTGCCACCGATCTTTCGAAGACCGGTCGGCCATCTACCCTGTTTTTAATCGCTGGTACTGTCGTTGGCGTCGCTGGCCTGGAGTGACCAGACCATTTGCCAACATCGTCGGCCACCAACTGTATCCGATAGCCTGCATCTAGTGCACGCGCGTACACTACCCCACCGACTTTGATAATTTGTGATTCGTTTCATGCTTAGAACTTGTTCTCGCTCACTTTGCACTTGGCTCAGCATGCCCTCTGCACGCGTGTGGAAGCGCGAAAACGGCAGTTAATTTTTGCGGAACGAATCGCAAAATGCGAAGTTAGTGAGGCAATGCAAACCCGCCGGTGCAACAAAACGACTTTTTTACCAGGGCCGCCGATTCTTCGAACCCCCGCGCGCACCGATCCAGGGTGCCATGCTTTGACTTCTGTGCGTGCAGGCACTGTTTCCAAATTTTTCTAAGTGGGAGTTTTCACGAATCTTTCGAGCAAGCTACCCAACCTGCCTCCTTCCCGTGTGTTTTGGTTTTCAAGGTCGCCCTCCCGCCGCATCCTCCCCTCTCCTTATCGCGACTCCTTGCCCTTCTCTAGCAAGTATGCTCTCCTCTCTTGATCACACGGAGGAAGGAAAGTGCTTAATCACAACCCCTTCGCCCGTCTCCACTGCTCCGTGAAGCCCGTCATGCTGGCTCGAATTTGTTTCGTTTTCTGACTGGAAACGGGCCCAGAGCTGTTCCACGCGTTCTGGCATAAGTGTCGCGTGTGCGCGTCTTGCTCGCTCTTGGTGAGCGTGTGTGGTCATGATGACCGACGGGAGGACTAGCACGCTCTTTCCTGCCGCTCAACAAAACGTCGAAAGTGTGACCGCTTGGCTTGAGCGTAATCCTCGTGTTAGGTGCCGCGTTGCGGAGCGCTTGCTCGTAGCTGTTGAATACGTGGCAGCCAACTTGCCAGTTCGGGCGTCCCAGTATTCAGCTGTGGAGATGGTGAATATTTCGTGGGCGGCGGTGACGGCTACATACGCGCGAAACTGTTTTCACGAGGCCAAATTCGTCGACGTCGGGCCGATGCCGAGCCTGAAGCTTCCAAACTGCGGCAGCAATTTGTGGCAGCGCGTCGTCGGCTTTGACCTAGGAGAGCGGGTGGGACATCTGTTGCGATGGTTTAATTGCGGCCAATGATGATGCCGACACTGTGGAACCGTGCATGGATTGGGGCATTGTGAATGAAGTACGTGGCGAGAGCGATTAGGAGGAATCGGATTGCGAAAACGACGGAACTTTGGAGCCAGTGCCTCATGCAGCTTATGCCACGGACCTCGGCGAACGAGCACCCTGCCCTTTTAAACGAACACGAGACCGCCCTTATCGCTTCTGCTCTTCAAAACACGTGCATCACGGACTTTCTAGGCAAAAAAAGTTTGTGCTTCACTCGCAACTTTCTTTAAAAGCTGTGTTTCATTTACTACGAACTTCGGGATAAAGTGAATGGATGCTGCGTCACGCTCAGGTTCGTTATAAGCGGGCTCGACTGTACATCATAAGCCATAATTTTTGTCAAGATAGAAAACACCCACTATGCCACTTTTCGTCATTCCGCGGCATAGTGAGGCACATGCTACGCAGCTGTGAGGCATTAAATGCAGTTTGCTAATGCAGTGGCTGTTGACGATGAAGAACTACAGCTGGGCCCTCTGTAATAAGTTGGAAGCAGAGCTGCACAAATAGCAAAATTTTGGCCGTGAAGAGAATTCGAATACTGAAGAGTGAGTGCAAACTGAATCGAAGACTTTTTCAATATTTCTCTAACATCTTTCAATACTACTTTGAAGTAAAATTGTAGAAAAAATGTTGGAGAGGATTCCCATGCGTATTCTTACGAGACAACAAAAGGAAAGTATTTCTTTTTGCTAGCTTGATGAAGCGCTGTCAGGGTGATATTTCATAGCCGTCCTATCAAGAATCATGGCAATGCAGAGGTCGAATCCTACTTATGTACATGGCTTTGGTGCAACCAAAGCGTTGCTGACAATACTTTACACATCAAAGGCCAAGATGCTATTTCTTCAGCCTTTGCTCTTCTTTCAACTTCAGTGGAAGCCCAACTGATGTGGCAGACAAGCTGGTGCTCTCTTTAAGTTAAACTGTTCCGATTGTGCTCTCTTCAACTGAGGGGTTTCAAATCTGGCTCGTAGATGCCGACATAACATCTGAAATTCTGGATGCTAAAAATCTTCGGCATCTGATTTGTTAGACTTCCTGACCGAATTTCAGGTCCAAAACAGCACTAATTGAGACCCCCCCCCCCCCCCCCCGCCACATCTACCATTTCCATGTTGGAACTAGTGTTTTCTAGGGTCAATACATTTGCGACCATACCAGAGGCTGAAAGGCAGCTTTACCACAATACAAAATGTGATGAGGTGAAGCATATTGAAGATCACTCCTTTCATTACAATCGATAGATATAATGCTAATGACAACAGTACGTGTTACACTTTTATTGATGAGCTAGTAATAAATAACCGGAAAAGCAGCATGCAGTTGTTTTTAGTTATTGGATGTGCAAAGTCCTTTATAGGGGCCCTGCAACACTTTTTCAGCATGGTCAGAAAACGCTGCCAATCGGTAGTAGAGGCTCCCAAAAACACACGAACCAAATGTTATAGCACAGCATGCCGGCCTAGAATTCCCAAATCATTCAGCAAAAAATTGCTTTTATTGCTTTCTCTTCCCTCGACAAATGACAGAAGACACTCTAAAATCACACGTAGATTGCCCATCCATCAGCCATTGGATGATTTGAACATGGCGACAGGCCATCACCTGAGAGGCCACGAGAGTCCACGTGTGGTTGCGTGATCACACTGAAAAAACCACGTATTCCAAGAAAAAAAAAGAAAAAGAGTGCTGAAGGCCACGAGGCACGAGTGATATACCGTAATTACTCGAATCTAACGCGCACCTTTTTTCCGGTTAAGCGAGTTCATAAATCGCATGCGCGTTAGAATCGAGTACGAACAAAAAAAATTACGGTCAATCTATTGCCATCGGCAAATCCAAAATGGCCGCCCCCTACGTGCGTCGGCATGGCGCGTCGGCCATTTCTGCCTATGTGTTTCCCATGTGCGGCACTTCGTACTTGTGCTGAGGAGTTCGTCATCTAGTAGTGCATTAGCATCGACGGCGTGGAAGGGCCGACTCCAAAAACTCGAGTGCACCACGATGCCGCTTTTAAAAGAAAAGTCATCGCGTGTGCAGAAACGGACGGAAATCGGGCCGCATCGCGGTCGTTCGGAGTTCCCGAAACGTGCGTGCGGGACCGGCGGAAACAAAAGCAGAAGATTGTCAACAGCAAAGCTTCCCGCAAAGGCTTCAGTGGACCACAGCAGGGTCGGTATCCACAAATTAAAGAGCTGCTCGACGAGTATGTGCTTGAGCAGCGAGCGGCACAGCGGCCCGTGACGACAGAACTGCTCCAAGTGCGGCCTATGCAATTAGTCTTAGAAAAAGGTCTAATGCGGAGCCAGTTTATAGCGAGCAGGTGCTGGCTAACTAACTTTATGAAAAGGAAAGGCTTTTCCCTCCGAAGGGGAACATACATATGCGAAACGTTTTGCGGAGGAGTACGATGAAAAGCTTCGCAGTTTTCAGAGGTTCGTCCTAAACTTGCGGCGCAACAACGACTACCTGCTTGGGCAAATCGGGAATGCCGATCAGACGCCTCTTTACTTCGACATGCCTGGCACCACAACCGTCGAGAAAAAGGGAGCGAAGCAAGTTCGCGTGCTGACATCGGTCCACGGTAAAACTACAGTGACGGCAATGCTCTGTTACACGTCAGATGGGCACAAGCTTCGCCCGTACCTCATATTTAAATGGAAGACGCTCCCGAAAGGAGTCGTTTTTTCGACTAGTGTGATCGTGCGGGCCAGCGAGAAAAATGGGTGCGCGTTGCAATCGATGTCTTACGTTTTTTTTTTTTTTTCGCGGTGGAAATCGGGTGCGCGTTACAATCGAGGGCGCGGTAGAATCGAGTAAATACGGTATTTTCTTTGGCCATGTCATCCCTCCCTGCTTAGCTTCCAGTGCTTTTGCCAGGACGAGAGAAGAGGCAATTGCAGTGTGTGACAAATCTTTGTAACTCCCTCATACTGAACGGATTCTTAAATTTTGCGGCATTGAATTTGTGAGGCAATACGTTTTCCTAGTGAATCAAATCCATGGTTACTCAAAAAAGTGTTTCAGGGCCCCTTAAAAGGGCTACTCCACAGGCCCCATAACAAATTTTAGTTAGAATGCAGCAGTTGGTGTGTCCGATGAATAGCATTATGCCACAAAAATTTTTTCAGCTGCGCCATGGCTCGGCGTGTTCACAGAAGCCCCAAACACCGATCCGCAGCATTTTCTGATTACATTCAAAGTGTTGCAGGGCCCCTTTAACAGCTTTGGAGGAAAAGACAGAAAAGAAGCTGGAGTGTACGAGATGACGTGACTCACATTCTGGTCCTGCCCTCCTTTGTCTATCTTCTTCATGGCAGCCAGTGTTTCCAGCAGAAAGCGCTCTCCTCCAGGAAGGACTTGTCCTTTTTTCTGCAGCTGCAGCTCTTTGCTCAGCACTGCAGGAAAAACATGAGGCGACCTGACGGAAGGCGCAGCTCCATCCAATCGGGACCTCGAACCCCATTTCCCAGACGGTCCTTCGAAAATAGTCGTGTCACCGTTTGATTCGGTATGAACACAGTTCGCTTCGTACTTGACTCTGTTTCAATTTTGACTATTGGCACACCCTTGATTGGAAGACGGTGAAAGGTAAGGAACACTACAAAATGCGGGTATTTAACGTCACTGCTAAACCAGAGTAGGATACCTTAAAAAGGATTCCAGGTGTTACCACAAGTCTGCACATTTATGAAGCGTGAAATGCAGCTAGCTATTGGGAATAGCTAAAAAGAAAACATGCGATTCTTGACAGGCCCCAAGAATGAGTCTAAACTGCCACATTCTTTTCAGATCAGCAAGGTTCCACTATGTTAGATGATATTCTTCAGGGCGAATGTCTCAACGATGAAACTAAAGCCAAGCTGCAATGAAGCAACAGCAAATTCGCAGAAATTTCTCTCTTGGAACCAATTGACGCATTCTATAAATCTGCGGTAAATAGCACTGGCCTTACATCTGACTTGGCAGCGCCCCATTTTGGGGCAGTTTTAATCGCAACAAAACATGCACCCTTGCCCCTGCCTTGATCTTTTGGCCAATCACGTTCCCACATGACTGGGCATCAGCTACAACAAACAATGCAGCGCTGAGGAAAACGAGTGCCAGCCAGATGAATCTAGCAGTCCAATTGTCAGCGGTACAGGCGGTGAAATGTGTGGCTTATCGCTGCATTAGCGTGAAATGGACAACGTATCAACGATTGAAATCAACGGCACCCAACATGAAATCTCCTTATAAATTGGTGACTGCACCAAACAATCATGGCGGTTGTCTTGCCTTCTTCACTGAAGTGCTATTCTTTGATCTTACAGCTGTTCAGCCCGTATAAAACTTCACCCATCAGAACTTCTAAAAGGGGTGGCAATATGGCAATGCTTCGTCAACACAAAGTCATGTTAAACACAGCACCCGGTTCCCTCTCTAAACATACATCTCTGAATATCTGCTGAAATGATGTTACACCCCGAAGTGGGGAGAATTGCGCGCCTTCCACTTTGACCGGAACGATTGCGTTTGCTCTTTTCACACAGTCCCTTTGCGTTGAAACCGCACTGATAATCACCGAGATAGCAAGCACGCCAGCGATCGCGACGGCCCTTAAAATCCAAGTTTATTATTGCTACCTGAGCGATTCTTCCCCCTCCCTCCGTTGTTTCATGGTTGTTTAAGAAAGGTTGTTTACTTTCTGTTTGAGCATTCGATGGCAGTTCTAACACGTGGGAGATGTATGCACTTTCCAGGCGATAGGGATGGGACGGCTCATGCGATCTCTGCTTCAGCAGCGCTCACGCGCTTTTACCCGCTTGTAAAAGTTACAATGTGCGAGAGCATGTTGTCCATTTCGACTTGTTGCGGAACATTGCGGCGACAGCAAGCACCCGCCGAGAGGGTCCATATAATTGCTATTGCAATATTAAAACAGTTTTTTACTGTAAAAAGAGTGTTTGGGGTTAGCTCTGTCTTCAGTCCCCATTTTGTTTAATTTGCGCACTTATTTTCTGAATTTTCGTGCAGAACCTGGATATAATGAAAGCCTCTTTATAACAAATTATTTGGGAATTCATCAATTTCGTTATATCCAGGTTTAACTGTATAACGAACTTACTTTTGTGTAAGATGCAACTTTGTTAAAATAAGGTTTGGGTGCGTACATGTGGCGTAACTGAGAGCGTAAGAGAACTCTGGCTTACAGTGTGGATAGTGGCTTTGCTTGACCCAGATGGCAGCAACAGGCACGATGACAGTTGAAACACTCTCACCGTCTGTGGAGCTGCACTCATCGAAGGCCCGCTTGCGCGTCTTTCTGCGAACCACCAGTGGCTTATCCTTGCCATCCCCTTCCTCCAAGGGATCGTGCAGCCTCTTGACCACAATGAAGGGCTGTATTGGTGGATAGGGCTGCTGCTGCTTGTTTTATGGCAAAAAAGAAAAGAAGAGAGAACAAGATGGAAAAGCTGGGTTTGATGGCAATAAGGGCTGCAGCGCGAGCACGAAGGTGCTAGAAGAAAAGTGAAAACGAAAGGCGAGGCAAGAAAAGCAAAGAGGACAACACAAGAGGTTTGAAATCTCGCGCAGGTGTGGTCTTTGAAACGGCTCTCGCATGAACAAAATAGAGAACACTGCTTGAACTCTGTTGTCGCAATGTCACAGCACACAGTATTGACACCTGACACCATATGAGGAATTGCAGAAGATGACTACGGTAGCACTTAGAAAAAAGAAAGCAAAAAACCCAAGAGGGGGGGGGGGGAGAAAGAAGAAGAAGCAAGCAAAACAGTAACAGAAGTGTTCTGCTTACACGATAGATGACGCTACTTGAACGGTATGCTTCAAACCCGGAAAATTTGAACTTGAAAATATCGTCAAAAGTGGGCCACAAATGGGTAAGTGTGGAAAGCGCGAATCACAAGCACTAACACAGACACAGACGAAAACAAAAGCGTGGGTTTAGTCAAGTGTGAGGCATGAAACTTCCTCTGCTAATAATGAACTTATGACAGAGAAACATATGAAATTATGAATTCTCAAAGTGAAGTTTGTCAATCTAAACCAAGTGATTATTTCTCTATGGTGTCCGTTTGATGAATGAGCAGTCCCGAAATGCATATCTAAGTCTGAAAAAAAGTGTAGCTATACATAGAAGGTAAAATGGTGCCATGAAGCTGTTCTGAAAGTGTTCCAAGTTTACGTTCATTGGGCACATGTTGTTAGCCTCACACATAGAGTTTCCTAAAATTAACTAGAGGGGACTCTTGCGCTGCGATTATTAAGTGTCCATGGGAACGAAACAGCCGAACCCACTCATAACGATCTATCGATTATAACGATCATACTTCGGTGCACCTACAATTTTCCTTTACTGCCCTTTGAAACTGAGTCCACATAAAGCAAACATTTTTCAAAACCTCTAGCTTTTACAATGAACACTTTCAAGGCAGTCGTGGTAAAAATATGGGGCGTACAAAGAGAACAAAATTTTAAACACACTCTAAGGCCTGTGAAAGGAGTGCACGTTCACGCTGCATTTTACTTGCAACTAAGATATTGTAGACCGTGGCGAGCATCGCATGCAGGTGCATGCCATCGCATGCCATCGCTGCCGATTGCTGGGCCGCGAAAGGCACGACCCCGACATTTGCACGCAAACAGACGGTACCGCTGATTTTGCCAACCCCCTAATCAACATCTCATTTACACAGCACTCGCGCTGCACAACACAATTGCTCAAGTCCTCGGTAAAAAGTATCACTTGGCACTTGAAGTCACCTGTGTAGCTCTGCCAATGTGACATCGTCGCAACCAAGCACAATGCAATGGTGGTGGTGGTGAGAAGAAGAAGGCGCCTGATTTCTGCAGCCCGGTAGGAAGCCGGCGCAGTGCCTAAAGCAAATGCGAATCATAATATGCGAACCGTCACCCCGCCACGCTGATCATACAAAGAACAAAGTACGAGGCGGCGACGGCGAGACCTTAGGCCAGTGTCCAGTGCGGCTGCGCGCCGGAAGGCAGTACCGAAAGCACGGTTAGCGACTTCAATGGACAATATCTAGGGAAATCGTGGGTTTCATCGCAACCACAGCGAAGCAGCTGCATTTTGCAGGGGCGGTACGCAGCTACTGCATGAATTACCTTTTTCTCAATTGCTTAGGTAGTCGAAAGAAGGAGGGGGTCTTTATTCGGATTTTATGTTATATAACATGCGTATGCAGCAGGAACCCCTTGAAGAACAGCAGGCGCAGGCAGTTGAACGCCTTTAGCTCTGCGCTTTTGATTGGTTTGAACGTGAATAGTAGGTCGAAATTCTTTGGTCACAAATATAAGTCCATAGCTGACTATGAACAATATTTTCGGAAAAAAAAAAAAGGGTCGAGCTATATTCGAGTATGGTAAATGGTTAAGGTAGCGAAGCCTATTTGCTAAAGCTTTGCTGACTGTAGTTTCGTGAGTGGAAAGTAGCTCCTAGCCACATGAAGCCAAATGGAGCCGAAAGTACAAAGACTAGACAAATCCGTGTATGTACTACCCATCTATTACGATGCTCGCTGATGTGCCAAGCGTTGCAGATCCCATAGACACTAGCGCCAGAGTTCTCTCTAGTGTACAGGAAACGCTTATGGTTAGCCTCACACAGCGAAAAAGCATTCAACTGCGACCACTACCTCGTTCTTGATGCGCTCTTCCTTGATGCGCTTGGCAAGGCTAGAATTCTGGACCGGAGGCACGGGAACCGTGGGGGCTTCCTCCACGTCTGGCTTGGCTGGACACTCCTCGAAGGCTCCTACGTCCTCACAGTAGGGGGCCATTTCAGGCTCCTCGGGCATCAATAACGGTGATGCTGGACAGAAAAATATCAGTGACTACTCGGTACTGCTCTTCATGGATTCTATAACTCCCAGTTATGCAATTCCATCATTCCTCCCAAGCCAGGGATCATTTTTACATAGTATGTCAGGCTGGGACGTCAGTCCCAGATATTCAACATACCATAACTTTTGTTCAGATGAGTTTAAAATGTCTATTCTTGCTTTATTGCTAACAATTTTCATTAGAATCGCATATTCTAGAGATGAGGAAATATTCAATCGAATTCTGCCCTATTTGTTATTCGCTTCGATCCGAATTCAAGTAGTCCATATTTTCGACTCACTCGACACTTTGGAATAGATAGCAAAAGCCACGTAACTTGACCGTCGATAAGACGACATTGCTGTATTGTATACGCGATTGTGCACGTAGGGTTTGCGAATCCAGTGCGCACAAAACAAAACGCAGAGAATGCACACCACACAATGCATAGACACGTAGTCCGATAAGAGCAAAAAACTTTATTGCCCTTCTGTATGAACAGCACAACCTCTAAATATGCGATACGATGCTTACGACGCCAAAAACATAAGTTCGCAAGTGTTCTCAGTTGGCACAATAGTAAGAACGAACACAATGTAGAGCCGAGAGCTTGCATGCAAATACCATGTGTTAGTGATGATCAAGGAAGAGAACGTACGAGAAAAGTAACAGCAGGTACTTTCGACAGTGCACACTATACAGCTGAGCATTGCACTGAACATGCAGAAGAGCAGCATACGCGAATAGAATGTGTCGCCGCCGGCACTTTCAAAACCGCTTTCACGGTGGAAAAAAAAAAGAGTGCAAAGTTTTGCGATTCACTATGTGCACATCAGCTCACTAACTGCGCAACGGAAATCATGAAGTGTTTATCTGCTCCTTCGCCAGGAGGCAGTGCGAGTGTTTGGGATCAGGAGTTATCGCCATAGAGTCACTCTGGTCTACAGACATGATCATCATGCGGCGAATTCACTGAATATGTCAGGGCCCCTTCTTGGCTGCCATACACCCGTAAATTCGTCTTTGTGTTTCTTGAGCTTCAGCACCATTTGCACGTATTGGCTTATCCTGCCTTCGGTGACCGCTGCCTCCACAGTTGAAGATGGCATTGACCGCGCCAGTGTTCGGTAAGTGCTCATGCACAAATCCGACATGGAACTTTTTCCTGAAAGTGCCTGCTGGAGGCAAAGCGCAGTGCGGGACTTGCAGAGTTGTTCAGAAGATGCCTACAGGTACCACGACGACATTTGTCAGCCACTTGTAGAGAAAACCAGGCAAATACAAATAGTACCGTAATTACTCGAATCTACCACGCACCTCTTTTTCCGGTTAAGCGAGTTCATAAGTCGCATGCGCGTTAGAATCGAGTACGAAAAAAATGAATACGGTCATTCTATTGCCTTCGGCACTCCAAAATGGCCGCCCTCTACGTGCGTCGTCATGGCGCGTCGGCCATTTCTGCCTATGTGTTTTGATGTGCGGCACTTCGTGCGTGTGCTGAGGAGTTTGTCATCTTGGTGTGCATCAGCATCGACGGCATGCAAGGGCCGACCCCAAAAACTCGACGAGTGCACCATGATGCCGCTTTTAAAAGGAAAGTCATCGCGTGTGCCGAAACGGACGTAAATCGGGCTGCATCGCGGTCGTTCGGAGTTCCCGAAACGTGCGTGCGGGACTGGAGGAAACAAAAGCAGAATATTGTCGACAGCAAAGATTCACGCAAAGGCTTCGGTGGACCACAGCAGGGTCGGTTTCCGCAAATTGAAGAGCTGCTCGGCGAGTATGTGATTGAGCAGTGAGCGGCACAGCGGCCCGTGACGACAGAACTGCTCCAAGTGCAGGCTATGCAGTTAGCCTTAGAAAAAGGGCTAATGCGAAGCCAGTTTAAAGCGAGCAGATGCTGGCTAACTAACATTATGAAGAGGAAAGGCTTTCCCCTCTGAAGGCGAACGGGCATATCCCAAAGTTGCCGGAGGAGTACGAAGAAAAGCTTCAATTTTCAGAGGTTCGTCTTAAACTTGCGGCACAACAACGGCTCTCTGCTTGGGCAAATCGGGAATGCCGATCAGACGCCTCTTTACTTCGACATGCCTAGGCGCCACAATCGTCGAGAAGAAGGGGCCGAAGCAAGTTCGCGTGCTGACATTGGGCCACGGTAAAACTAGAGTGACGGCAATGCTCCGTTGCACGTCAAGATAGGCACAAGCTTCCCCCATACCTCATATCTAAACGGGAGACGCTTCCCGAAAGGAGTCTTTTTCCCGAGTGGTGTGATCGTGTGGGCCAACGAGAAAAATGGGTGCGTGTTACAATCGATGTCTTACTTTTTTTTTCGTCGTGGAAACCGGGTGCGCATTACAATCGAGGGCGCAGTAGAATCGAGTGAATACGGTACTCGGGATTTCATCAAATCATTTCCGCCGTCATCGGCGAAAGGACAAGAGATGATGAAAAAAACTGCGGCATTCATCGCCCGTGGCCTGCAGCCATAGAGCATGGTCAGGGAACAAAGCTTGATTGAGATGATGCATTGTGCGATTCCAGAATACGTCGTTCCAGCGCAGAAGACCTTTTCACGAACAGTCATTCAGAATTTGTTTGCAGCCCAAAAAGATGAACTGAAGAAGCGTTTTGGGGCCGTATTCCATGACGCTGTGCTGAGTGCTTATTATTAAGAATGGGTGGGTGGACATCGAGGGCCGGCGAACAACTACGCCTGTGTAGGACATCGCGGTGGATGGGTGGACATCACGACCTTACGCAGCACGCATATGCCCTCCCCTGCAAACCAATGCCACAGGAGCATACTGTACAAAACATAGTTCAGTTTCTTTGAGACGTGATCAAAAAGTAGGGTCTGCCCGACAACGTCCAGAATTTTGTCATCCAGAAACTTCGTTTAAACGGTTGCCAAATCCAACTGGTCAGGACTCCTCTGCTTTGCACATACCCTGCAGCTGTGCATAAATGACACCAAAAGAGGAGTGGCAAGTTTTTCCCAGCTTTGTGCGAAGTGCCGATCGATTTTAGGTCATGTAATTACTGAGACAGAGAGACCGAAACAAAAAGACGAATCGAAGACGTGGTTTCATTGGCTTCGTTTTCATTGGCAGCGCCATTGTAATGACTGAGCCAAACAGACAACGCCCGGTCGCTGGGCTGGCTGTTCTTTATCTGACCTCGTCTTCCTCTTCGTCTCACTGACCTGGAAGAGCCTACGCTTTGTTGCTGCACTTCATCAATTACATCACAGTCGCTACAAAAGAAGCGCGAGTGCTTGTGCACCATTTATGGACACACAAAAGGGTATGCACATAGTCCAGCATGAAGTGATTAAAAATGTTCCCACATGCTGGAACAGCAAGTACGCAATGATGGAGGGACTCGTTGAACTTCGTGCCCCATTTTCAGTTGAACTTTATGATTCTGATGTGAACAACTTAAGCTCCAGAGAATGAAAATGAGTGGCTGTGACAGTAAATGTGTTGCAGCCTCTGGATCAAGCCACGACATAGCTGTGCGTGTACCGCTATCCCACACTTTCCCAAGTGATACCCCTCATGCATTGCGTACAAGTGGTGCTGCATAAGCATGTGTCTGAAGGCGAGGAAGCGGCATCATTTGCAAGGAGCCTTCTTGCCACAAGGTTCCCCAACTTGAAAATGGCAAATGTTCCAGCAAATGCAATGGTAGTAACCCTCGATCCAAAGACATTTGTTACATTGAAGACAGTAAAAAAAAAAGAGGGCAAAAGCCACACTAGCGGCTGCAGCAAATGAGATAATGCCAGCGTTAGCTCATTTGCTGCCCGGGATTGTGCCCGGGAACCTGTTGGCCCAGCCATTTATAAGCCTCCACCTAACACTCTTTGGGGTGTTTTTTCTTCATTAACCTGCAACGTACTATAAGACAACATGTACGAAAGTGTCCCTTCTCAAGTGGTGGAATACTTCAGCACCCTTTTGCTTGCCCAGTCAATAAATCCTTTGAAGTGGTGGAAGACCCATGGCAGCAGACTGTACTCAGCCCTGGCCAAGGTGGCACAAAAGTACTGTATTTACTCGCGTAATCCTCACACTCGCACAATTCTCGCGCCCCCCAGATCGCCCAACAAAAATACGATTTCTTTTTTACGAGTAACTATCGCACCCCCGAAAACTGCCGCAATAATGTCGCCTGCTCACTACAACCACTGATGATGATAGCGCGAGCCATCTCTTAAGCATCAAGCATACTATTATTGCACAGAGATTCAATCCAATCCACGCCAAGCCAAAGTGGCATGTGCACGTTGGGGCGTGTTTTATATGTTGTGTCAGTAATCTTGTCTCGTTATGGGGCGATACTGAAGCTACACGGCTGCTTTTAAGTTGAAAGTGATATATCATGCACTAAAGAACGGCAACAGGGCCGCCGGAGGGCCCTTCGGAGTCTCGTAGTTTTGTGTTCGCAGTTGGTGACGGCAGCTGAAAGCCACCAAGACGAGATGGTACTGCGGTGTGCATATAAAACTGGGATTGATGGTAAACTTATTTCCTTCAAAAGGAAACTGCGGACGATTCTGTTAAATATCCATCAGCCGAATACTGATGTTCTATGCATACCTTTTGAGCACTCCTGTTGAGCGAGGAACGCTACTGCCATGCCCGCAACGCCCACGAGCTTTGCGTATGGTATTCTGATTCCCGACTATTTGCTCGCACTTTTTGTGTCTCAAATAAATCTTGCCTTGAGTTGAACCTGTGCTTTTTATTGTTGAGGTAAGGCTTTAATTAGTACTTATCAAAGCTTGCTGTTAGTTGCTGGTTAGAACCCCGATTTGCGGCCACTTTGTTTTCTTTTCGCTCTGTACTTTTTTGTGGAAATCTGGAAACCTTTCCCCCTCGTAATTCTCGCACCCCCCAACTTTGCATTGGTTTCCCGACAAAAAAAGTGCGAGGATATGCAAGTAAATACTGTACCTCTCGATTCCTGCCATGAAGGCAAGGA